CTCCCTCTGTTTCAAAATATAAGTTGTTTTTTGTTTTTTTGGTCAATCAAGCATACTTCATTCATTTAACTGATCAAAGTACAAAGAGAGAGAATTAAGCATCTTCCAACATTAATACAACATAATTGAAATGCAATAAAATCTAAAGCAGATAGATCATCGTAGAAGATGGACAGCGGATCCCATACATGTCTTGGATACGTCAAGAGGGTCTTCGCGGCAAAGTCGGAGAGTCTCAGGTTAGGCACTTTCCATTGTGACTTTGAAGGTCCCGGCAAAAAGATCGAGAATTCGACCGCTCTCCAGGAGAGAGAAGAAGATACGACCAATCTCAAACAGATGGAAGAAGGTGGAATTGAACTCTTCCACCGGAAGTAAATTAAAGGATTTAAGAATTCAGAAAACTTCGACCCTCTCATATTTGGAGATATGAATCTCGACGATTGATGGATTGAAGCACATAGAAAGCGAATTGGTCTCTCCAGGTTTGATTTGGAGGACAAAATTTTTAACAAACTCTGTAACCACTTGCCTAAAACGACAAGAAAGACAACACAACTTTGCAAGGATAACTCGTGAATGTCCGTATACAAGATCCACCAAACTAACTTGGCCATCTTGCTTAAAGTAATTAGCCCAAGATATAGACTTTGGCATAGATGATGGGCCAAAGGGGGTGGCAAGGCCATGAATTAAACTAGGCCAGGCCCAAGTTTTATATCTTTTGCATCGGAGGGGCAGGCTCAACGGAGATGAGCGGCGGTTCCTCCAAGTCTGATATTTGCAACCATTGCACGAGAAGAAGACGACAGCCAGAAATATTCGCAGTGGAGAATTGTCAGAACGTGGTCGACGCTTCTGATGAAGTAGGGTTTGTAATGGAGCCGTTGGAGCAGAGTGATGTAATTCTGAGCCCAGATCCAAGCTGAACAGTTCAACGACGTATAGGTCTTCGGCTTTGGCGACCGAGAATAGGGAATACACGATGAGAGCGTAAGATTCAAGAGGAATGCGAGTAATGGTACCCGAAATAGTGATGCGGCGGTGGACGGCGGAGGGAATCAGTGGGGTGTGGTGGTTTGTGGATGCAGATTTGCTGGTCACCGGATCTGAGTTATCCTTCACCCGGTACTCAGAGAGGCGGAACGAGCGGTTGTAACAAGTCGAACGAAGCAGATAACCGACGGACGAGCAGAGTAGGAGAGCCACGGTCCGACGCCGACGAGCCTTTGCTCCACCGACGTCGGAAAAGGAGAGGCCTTTGGTTGTCTCGATAAATGTGCTTGGGAGCATATGCGGCTATACCTCAAAATATAAGTTGTTTTAGAGGTTTTTTTATGTTTAATAATATAAGTTGTTTTGATAATCATATGTACTTTTTAACTTTATTGACTATTGTGTGACCAATAGTATTTTGCAGTCGTTTTTTCAATGGTTAAATTATTTTTATTATATATATAAGATGTTACTCTTTAGAAGAAAAATAGTTTCTTAATATTAGCACTGTTAGCCAAAATAACTTATATTTTGAAACGGAAGAAATAT